AAGTCTTGTGATCGCCTTCGTATGAAATTGTTTTTGTTGTTGTTGTTGTTGTTAAGTCAGCGTTATACTAGTTCACGTTTTACTAGTCAGCGTTTTACTAGTCCGCGTTTTACTAGTCCGCGTTTTACTAGTCCCCGTTTTACTAGTCCGCGTTTTACTAGTCCACGTTTTACTAGTCCCCGTTTTACTAGTCCTCGTTTTACTAGTCCATGTTTTACTAGTCCGCGTTTTACTAGTCCTCGTTTTACTAGTCCGGTCCAGTCCAGTCCAGTCCAGTCCAGTCCAGTCCAGTTCCCGAAATACCATATGCTCAAACAAACATAGCGAGCAACAGAGCTTGTTGTATATGTGCGTGTTAAAACATACAAATGGACACTTCACTCTGATTGGGCAGAAAAACACAAAGATTTTCTGGCACCAATCAGATGCCAGAGCGACTGCGACCGTTTAGAACTAGTCTTGTAAGACAATGTCCACAGCGGCTCTTATGTCCTTACCTTGAAATCGACTCACAGCCCCTGGGTCTCCGAGGATGGTACGTGGAGAGAGAGGGTAGCGGAAGTTATGTGAAATCATCTTTTGGTTTCTTTGGAGAGATTAGCAGCTGTCAGTTAACGTCGATGTAGCCAGGATCTTTTCAGAAAAAAGGATACAGTAATTTTGTTCGAAGTAGGATCTGGTTGATAGTAGATTGGTTGCTCGTCCTGATCACAGCCCGCTTGCCTCAACCGACTTAAAAACTCACGCAACAAAAAATTATTCGCAGCCGGATGAAACGGAAGTGTTTTCTATTCCCGGTCCTGCTGGCTTTTAGTGGACTGATTAGTCTCATAGAGTCTTTTATCAATGAGTCAATCGTGGTGAATTATGTAGTGGAGAGGGGGTCCTATGATTCTGATTTGTTTTTTGTAAACACAAAGAAGGGCACTGACTGTACCAATGGTGGACAGTTGTATAAATGGTGCCCCACGTTAGGAGCACATTCAGATGGAGACCCTTGCAGTTGTCGTTGTCAAGCTAGTCCTCGTTCTTTCGTTCCGTCGTTAAGAAAGTGCGTGAAGGGGGGTCAACTGCCAACAAACTTTGGAGGTTGGTATAGTAATCAATTCCATTTGCACTGTAAAGGGTTAACTTAATTCCATGCAAAGCTTTCGAGTTTTTAAAAGGCAGGCATGTGGTAGGATGGAGATGGAAAATGAGAGGTAACGGCTTGGGATGATAGTAACAGTTGCAATAAAAACGAATTTTCCTGTGCTCCAGTACAGCAGCAACTAAAGAGTGGGTACTAAACATACAATGTTATTTACTGAAATCCTGTCTTCTATCCATGCCCTCTTTTCCATTTACCATGATCATTGTATGATTATTTTCATTTGTGTGCTTGTAGCTACAGAGAATGGCAAGTGAATGCAAAATCTTTTTGTTAAAGATTGAGGGCCCATTAGAGGAGTACTGAATAACACTTACCCTTTGGGCCTAAATAATTCTTTACACGAATATCCTAAGAAGAGGGCCTCAAGAGCATAGTGTCTATTGTGTGCTCCAGAAGCATAGCATGTTCATGGCACACATAAAACACCGAGTGAAAGTCAATCATCGCAGAACTGCACCTGGCACTTGTGAGTTCAGTTCTTGCATTCCAAGGGCATGTGGTATAATTATGCACCAAGAAATGGCTCTGCACTTGTGGAATTGTGTCATATTAATTATGCTATGCTCTCTTGACAATGAAGGCAGAAATGCCAACACAAAGGTGGTCAGTGGAATGTTTCGATTCCACAGTAGAAATTGTAAGGATGAAATAAACAATTTTCAATATAAGAGAAAGGCTTTCCCATCTGGAAACTCGATTTTTCTCTCACACTAGAAATTGCAAGCATAAAACTCATTTTATTTGTAGCTATTTTTGGAGGTGTGAATTATATTAATAACATAAATAACAACATAATCTGTCTTTCAGGTTGTCCAAACCACACATACTTAAATCTGGTTGGTGGAAATAACAATCCTGTTTTATACTTTGCTGTTGATCTGCAAGTGAAAAAAGAAAAGGAAACTTCAGTCAGTTCAAAACAATATAAATGCTGCCTGTCTGGATACTATTTTGATTACAGTGGTTTTCAAGCTCGATGGGAGAGTGTAACAGATGGAATTTTCAACCTTACAATAAGAAAGCAAAAATTTTTCATCCAGGTGAGATAGCTACTACTGAACAGTACTTTACAAGTCCTTCTTAACCCTTTAACCTTAATAGTGACTAGCACCTAATTTCTCCTTACATTATCACCCCAGAATCACATATTAAGGTCATGAGAATAAAGAAAATGATCACTTACTGAAGAAACTCTTGATTGTTATGCCAATTCTCCTTGTTAGCACCTTAGGAAATGTATAGAGAACAATATTTAATAGAGAGCTATTTGTGCCAAAAATATGAATTACTAGTGATTGGACTCAATCATTTGTGCTATATACAAATTGCTAGGGATATTTGAACTCAGTTGTCAGTGCAAGCTCAGGCTAAAAAAAATTGTAGTTGTAAATCAGTTTTATTAGTTGCCAATTATATCAATTGTTATAGTGCTGACACACCTCAATCACTTGTGTCGTTTCACCAAACACTGTTTTAAGACCTCAATTGAAAGTACTGATTATAACTCGTTGGTGTTCTGAGGAAGATTGATTGGGCTACATATCAATTGTAGGTTATTGTCTACTATAATGATTGACATTTTGCAGAAGCAATTTTTACTTATTTACTGCAAACAACTGATGGCATGCATCACTGGTGATTGACATGTCAATGTTATAATTACTGCATGTATTTTAAAATGATACAAGCAATAGAAGTCTAATATTCTCAATTGATACTAAAAACTACAATTAACACCTAGTGTTACAGGTATAATCTGTTTCTATATAATAACGAAATCATATTGTTGATTAATGAAGAGTTTCAGGTTGACCAGTGAAATAATTCTTCATCACTGACATACACTTAGTTGGGGCTATCCTAGACTTTTGGATTTTCTCTTTTCAGTGGGAAGACAAGCATAAAAATTTGTCTGGGAGGATCATCAAACTTAATCTTACTTGCATAAGTATGACAAAGCAAAAAGAGCCAAGAAAAGAATTCTGCTATCTCTTCAAGGTGGTAGGAACTGTAACATGTAAGTCAAGTTAAGTTGTTTTAAATCATGGTTAGAATTCTTATTTATAGCCCTAGCCAGGCATAGAATGGTATGCAGTCTCCTCACCACCAGGAAGACTTGCCACCAGTGAGCCCCCCATCCAAGAGTAATTGATCTTGCCACACCATTTGTGATGTGGCATTTGAATTATTCATTAGTTGATTACCATTTACAAATAAATTCCAGACATTTCAGTGTGGAATTTTCATTTGGTGAAAATGGTACAGGTCATGCATTGACCATTTGCCTCGCTAAAATTTCCAGATGGCACTAGACAGGAGAAACTGATCGGCTAAGATTTGCTATTTCCGACAGCCTAGTTGATAAGTCAGCTGTGTATTAAATGAAAGTAAACACATTGCAGAAAATTTGCAATTATTTTCGCGGGAGAATAAAATATAGCATAAAACTTGACACTAGCCATTGGATTTGGATGCAAATTAGTGATTTTAAGTCTGCTCACGATTTAAATACAAGAAACAGCTATGTGTTAAGAATAAGAGCAACATGAATAAGAGCAAGAATAAGAGCAACATGAACACTGAATGATACACATGCATCCCCCATTAATATTTGCTATGAACCTGCCATATTTGTTGTTGTTGTTGTTGAAGCGATTGTGTTGGCCAAAGGCCAAGAGGCCTGAAACTAGCACAAAACTCAAGGAGTCCTTCCATTTAGTAGTGGTAAATGCAGGGGCTTCATTAATGTTTTCTGCAGGAGGGCAACTGGTTTTCACAGGTGGGCAAAGCTCTTTGAACTGAACTTCTTTATAAGATAAACTTTCCTCCAGATTGTCAAATCAGGTGGGCAAAACCGTCCTCACAACCGGTCAATTTGCCCGGTGCCTGGCCCTTTAAATGAAACCCCTGTAAATGAATTTCCATTTGGAATGTCCCAACCAGAAAATGGGACTACCTTTTAGAATTTATGTTTGTCCTGGGAATTTCCCAGTGGGATGAACTAAAAAAATGTTTACCATTTATATCCCAACCAAAATTTTTGGGAATTTGTGTTAAATGGTAAACAACCACGATAAACGTTCATGTGAATATTTTGCAAAGTATGCCACAAAGATTTTCCTTGTGCACTTTCCCTAGTTGTTATTATTTCAGTCAATAATGCTAGGAACCCACACTGGTAGTGAACCAACCAATTCATCCTTCCAGCTTACGTTCCATAATCCCGAGCAAGATCCCGGCTTGAATCCCACCTGGGTTCCCACCCGGGATCCCACCTGGCATCCCACCCGGGACCCCACCTGGCATCCCACCTGGGATCCCACCCGGGACGTTCCATAATCCCGGGTGGGATCCCGGGCGGGAGAAGCCCGGAATCCCAGGTGGGATTGGCGGGATCCCGCCTTGTGTTTTTACCTGGGTAGTGGCCAAGAGTTTGTTCACTTCTTGTGTTGCAAATAACAGATTTCCATTGTGCAAACTTCAGATTTCCATTTCCAAAATTACAGATTTTTAGTTCATTTCACAAGTTACAGATTTCCATTTAATTTAGTTTTATTTCGTTTAGCAAACTACAGTAGGGTAATTCAGCAAGAAATAAAACAATTGATGGTTAATGATGACATCAAAACAACTCAAGCAAAGGCTGCATGCAGAGGCCTGGAGTGTTATAGAAGCTGTACATCCAAGCATTCAAAATGTTTTGTACTGGAAATTTCCTCTCACTTGCTTGTAATTTCTCCTGCTGCAGCTTTTTTGTATAAATCAAGCAGTTGGGTTCTTTTCTTTCGGACACTACCTTTGCCACCATCACTTAAATTTATGCCTTCTTTTCACTCTCCCAAATTGAATTTCAAGACATTTTCACCCACATTCACCACCACAGCATTTAATTCTTTATACCAATGAGATAGACTTTGCACTTAGCCTCATTCTTGTGCTGTAATTTTGGCACCAGATGACTAAACTACAAGAACTCGGAAGTGGCCTATTAGGTAGCAGCCTAAGAGGTGAATTAAGAGGGGGGACTTGTATAGTGATGGCCAGATTGCCATGATGGTGGTTAACTCACTGGTGGTGAGTCTTCCGGGTACAAGTGAAGTGACTGTATACTTCTATAGAATTGGCTTTTTTCATGGTTACCGTATGCTTCCTATTTAAGACAAAAACTCACAAAATGGTAATTATACTGCCTCCTTGTCAGAAACTGAATGTCTTGGGTAAAGGTAAAAAATCCAGGATCCTTAACTGACATGTCAGCCAACATGTTGGCCAACTGTTAAGTTTTGTTTCTCTAGGCTGATTCTCATCATTGACTTAGCCCAAAAGCAAGTACTATACACATGTGTAAATTTTCATGGACATAACTAATCCAGCAAGAAAATTTAAGGCATGTGGTCATATATTGGCAGCATCCTCAAGTATGTACATCTGAAGTGATGATGCAACCTAACATTATATAAGCACCAGTGGGGAAACAGAACAAGCTATCACTTTGTTAGAGCACAATCTTTTCAATGATCAGAAGCAAAATATTATGCTTCTTCGGTAGATTTAAAGACTAGTTCAGCTTTTGTGTCTCCTCTGATAGAAAACACAATTACTTGTAGCACTGACTGAAGCAGAAGCTGGTCCTTAATTATGTTGGTTTGTAAATTATTGTGGTGGATTCATTTTGTGGACTTAAGGCACATGCACACTCATTGATTGCTGCTTTTTACATCCTGTTTTTATTCTTTGATCAATTGCAATTAGTTTAATCATGTTACTTAATTCATTACAGTATTTTTATACAGTAATAATTTTATTACTAACATTGGTACAAGTACTTTATGTTCTTTAAATACAGTAACAGTAATAAAATCAGATAAACATATCAGTAATTAGGAAGATTGATGCACAACACATTGAATGTACAGCTGACCAACATTTGTTATACAGCATTGTTAGGGTTTAAATTGTTCATCCTTGTCATCTGAGATAGACTAGCTGCCATAATGTTTAACTTAATAACAGTTATCTCACAATCGACTACAGAGAGAGACTCACCATGTTTTTGGTGAGACAAACTGTTCGAATTTCAACAGAACAATTTAAGCGGTCTCAAATTCAATTTGCTTTTAGCAACTTTTTGAAAGAGTGATTCATATAACTTCCATTCTCTTTTTCAGATTATGCCCCCAATAGTACTAGTTTGGTAAGTGTTTTTCCGACTACAGTGATCAGGAGTTCTCCTACTCCAATATGTTCATTTTCACTGTTGTCACAATCATCACAAACATCCCCACTGTCACCAATACCACGACCTACAGCTTCCCCATCACCGTCTCATTCATTGGGTGCAACCACAAGAAGTCCAATAACAGAAACAGACAAATTTTCAGCATTTGTATCAACACACATGGAAACCAGGTCACTTCAAACAAGGCCAGCTTTACGTTCGTCTGGACCAATTCTACCATCAACATCAAAAGCAGAACTGGAAAGCTTCTCACCAGTCAATTCAGAGGAGACTTATTATCAAGTCACAAACACAGGGATCCCAACATTATCTTCATCATCATCATCATCATCATTGTCATCGTCATTGTCATTGTCATCATCCTCGTTGTCATCATCATCATCAGTTAGCACAGGGGAACCAAATTATAGTGAACCATCAGAGGTGGGTTTCCTGTTTCAAGAACAGTCGATGATTCTGTAAATTGAAATGTTCAGAGGGTGCAAGTGTTACCGTAATGATTATTTATGAAACCATGATAATTATAATCATGGTGCCTAGAGGTTAGTTATTACATATAGGTATATTATTTTGTATTTTATAATTCTGCTTTTACTAGGCAAGCTGGTGAGTCTGGGAAAAAACCATACTCAAGACCAATTAAGTGCTCAGTTTTTCCCCATACAGACCAACCTGAGGCCTATCCCTCAAAAGTCCTGGAAACTTATCAGGCCTGTAAAGTTGTTCTGTTTTCATTTAAGATAGGGGTTTCAAAAGTTTTTAAAATGATACAGTTTAACTATCAGCTAAAGAAACAAATTTTACTTGTTAGGGTGACAGAACCTACTTCTCTATGCTTTGGATTTTGATTTTAAAATTTGGCTTCGGGCTTTTAACATTACCAGGACTATCAAGAAGCGAGTGCCTGGCTTTTTACCTTGCTTTGCTGTAGATGGAGCAGAAAAAAAATTATGAACTGTGGTCCATTTTGTTAAAAAGCCAAACTAGTTACAACCATGCAACTTACCAATCAAATTTGATGATTTAGATTCCTGTTCACCAANCAAGCCGTGCGAACGGATACTATATTTTTTTGAACGGATGACCCAAGCCGTGCGAACGGATGCTAATTTTTTTGAACGGATAACACAAGCCGTGCGAACGGATGCAAGTTTTTTTTGAACGGATAACCCAAGCCGTGCGAACGGATACTATATTTTTTTGAACGGATGACCCAAGCCGTGCGAACGGATGCTAATTTTTTTGAACGGATAACACAAGCCGTGCGAACGGATGCAAGTTTTTTTTGAACGGATAACCCAAGCCGTGCGAACGGATACTATATTTTTTTGAACGGATGACCCAAGCCGTGCGAACGGATGCTAATTTTTTTGAACGGATAACACAAGCCGTGCGAACGGATGCAAGTTTTTTTTGAACGGATAACCCAAGTCGCGGGAACGGATTCAAATTTTTTTTCAACGGATAACACAAGCCGTGCGAACGGATGCAAGGTTTTTTTGAACGGAGAACCCTGGCCGTGCGAACGGATGCAAATTTTTTTGAACGGCTGGTGAACGGCAAGTGAACGGCAAAACGCCTTCGAACGGATAGCCGTTAGTGTATGTTTTCGCGTGAGAGGTCATTTATGTCCGTCCAGCCTAAGGCAAATAAATATTTAAGTACTATTGCCTAGGTGCTTTCGAATTTTATTGTAAACATTTGTTTTCATTATGAAACCGTTTTGTTTTAATTATTTTGGTTTCTCATATTGAGATAAAGAGCCAGTTTCCAATCAGGAAAAACTTCTTATCTTCTTTCTTAAAAGTATTACTCTAATCTAAATAGCATCTTTTGGGCTCCATGGAATTTTATTTTCTTAATTGTGTTTATCACTTCCTTTGTAAAACTGACAAAATGCAAAGCAGCCATTTTGAAATTTAGCATTCCTGTAAGTTATAATCACCTGGTATGAGGTGATTATAGTGAGTTTATAATGTCACAATTCTCAACCAATCAGAGCATGTACATCTCTATAATTACCATACCAATTAGATATAGTTTGAAACCCACAGAAGGAGTTTTTGATAAAGTATCAAGTACTGTGTGATAGCTGATATTGATTTGTATATTATTGTTGTGAAATAGGTAACTTATGTCCAAATGGTACATACCAAAATCTATTTGGTGCTGATAATGATCCTGTTTTGAAGTTTCCCGTTAACCTTACCACTGAAAAGACATATCAAACACTAGCTCACCCAGATCAACAGGACTGTAAGCTCTTTGGATACTTTTTCGATTACAGTGGTTTTCAGGTCAGATGGAAAAGAGTGAGTGAGAATGGGATATTTAACCTTACAAAAAGTGGAAAGTATAGAATAAAGGTGAGGCTATTGATTATTGAGTTTATATAAATTTATATTTGATGGTTCTAAGCTCAAGTTATTTATAGTACTTGTAACTTTGTTGTCCTTAATTAGTATTATACAATACCTATGTTGAGATTGCACTTATCATTGATTTTACTCAAGCGCACTTTCCACATATGTAAGCAATTGGTTGCAAGAACTCAGAGAGGGATGAGATTTTTTTTACTAATCCCAGTGCTGATAAAAAGCCCCACAAAAGGGAATGGCATTAAGACTATGCCTTCTTTTTACTGTTAGTACTATACTGTACCTTCATTGTACTGCACCTGAGTACACACAGATTTACTTTTATTAGTTGTGTATGAAATTTTGCAGAGAATCATTAATATTGTTACAGAATTGTGTCAGACTAGATATCACTACCAGTTCCTCTGTGTTCCTGCTATTGGTGATAATTGTAGACATAGAATTTAAAAACCAATTTCTCCGGGGAGCAGGGATGGCGCAGTGGTGAGAGCCCTTGTCTCCCATCACTGTGGCCCGGGTTTGATTCCCGAACCTGGTGTCACATGTGGGTTGAATTTGTTGTTGGTTCTCGTCCTTGCTCCGAGGGTTTTCTCTGGGTCCTCTGGTTTTCCTTCCTCTGCAAAAACCAACATTCCAAATTCCAATTTGATCTGGAAACAGTGGACAAGAAGAGCCACCCAGTGGAATGTCCATTGCTAAATTATTATTATTATTATTGTTATTATTATTTTTATTCAAACAAGAAATGAAAAAAGTTGAACAAGTATGCTTTAAGTTGGTTTTTCCCTTAATTTTCTAAATTACTTAGGGTTAGATGCAGTCTTTAGAAATTATGATTGTCTCTTAGTGTTTTTTTTTTTTACATTCATTTGAGTATCTTATATAATGTTGAAAACTTTACTGATTTCTACAACTACTTTTACTTGTTGAATTTTTTGTTACTATGATACATTTTGCACTATTTACTTAACCTTTACTTTAATTTTCCATTAATTCTGTATCGATCAATATTTAACTCTGTTTCATATTTCATGAATAGTTATCAAACTACAGATTGAAGAAAAAATAATACATGTATTTGTGCTTATTATTAGGTATTCGAGTTAAATCTACTCAATAGCATGTTCTAGTTATCATATACTTTATGGATGCATGTTCTCTTCTAGATGAAAGACAAGAAAAACAAACTGTCTGGTAGGGTCATCAAACTTAATCTCACTTGCACAAATAAAACACAGGAAGGTCACCCAACATTAGAAGCTTGCTATATTTTCAAGGCTCTGGGACGTGTAACATGTAAGTAAAATTTAATTGTGACCTGTTAAATAATTAAATTTGCAGAATTCCTATAAAGCAAGTGATCCCTGGAGTTCTTTTCTCTTGGTAGTTTCTATGACGGCTGACAAGAAAAACTTAGTGATTATTATGTCCTCTCCCAGAAGAAGAATTCAGTACTTATAGGTTTTATGTTTGTTAAGGCTGGTTCGCACAATTACAATTGTCTAACACATTACTAATAAAAGAAATCATCATGGGCACAAAAACCAGTAAACTCAAGGCTTTAAGGCCTAGCTAGGGGTTTTCAGTACTCACTGACTCATGTTCAGTAGGTACTTAACAGTGTTTATTTTATCAGACTGATATTCTGTACATTTAACTTTCAGTATTATGTACTGAAATTGTTGCAATTTTGGAGGTACAATGCTCCCCAGAAATTATTGTGGAAAAATGAAGCAGCTATTACGATGCGCATTCTTTATTTCTGGGTGAGAATTTCCACTGTAGGAAGTGTCAAAACAAGTTCAGAGGGGAGAAAGAGTAAATTATATCAATTTTAGTGGGAGATTTGGAATCAATTTGTTAGGAATTTACCAAAGCAGCAGCGTACTATCTCAAAATCAACATTTAAATCAGAAACCTTAAATGTGTATTTGATCTCATACTGTTTGATGAAGACTATCAGTTGCGATAGTGGTTGAAATATCACAATCTGCAGTTAAGAGGTAGTGCTCAGTGTGGTGGAATGTAGTTAATTATATACATGTGAGACCTGTACAACCTGTAAAATATGCAATGAAAAAGAAAATGATCTGTCATAACTTTACATTAGTTACATGACTTTATACATGTAATCTTGAGTGAGATTCATATTCACTTAATTCTCTTTTTGCAGATTCTGCCCCAGTAATGAAAAGTTCTGTACATACTTTTCTGACATCTGTGATTTATCACACATTGTCATCACTATATCCATCTTCACCATCACCACAATCAACACAACCATTTTCAATGTCATTGTTATCACATTTGGCATCCCTAACATCGCCCTCTCCTTCTTTTAACACCTTGACAAGGAGTCCAACAACACACACTGGAAAATATTCACACACAGGAACCAGATCTCTTCAAACAAGGCCAGCTTTACAAACGTCCAGATCAGTTCTGCCATCAGCATCAAAGGCAGAACTTGCAAGCCTCTTACCAGTCGATTCAGAGGAAGTTACTAGTCAATTATTAAAAACAGGAATGCCATCATCTTTGTTTAGTACAAGGGAAGCAAATTATAGTGAACCATCAGAGGTGGGTTTCCTGTTTCAAGAACAGTTGATGATTATTTAAATTGAAATGTTCAGAGGGTGCAAGTGTTACCGTAATGATTATTTATGAAACCATGATAATTATAATCATGGTGCCTAGAGGTTAGTTATTACATATAGGTATATTATTTTGTATTTTATAATTCTGCTTTTACTAGGCAAGCTGGTGAGTCTGGGAAAAAACCATACTCAAGACCAATTAAGTGCTCAGTTTTTCCCCATACAGACCAACCTGAGGCCTATCCCTCAAAAGTCCTGGAAACTTATCAGGCCTGTAAAGTTGTTCTGTTTTCATTTAAGATGGGGGTTTCAAAAGTTTTTAAAATGATACAGTTTAACTATCAGCTAAAGAAACAAAATTTACTTGTTAGGGTGACAGAACCTACTTCTCTATGCTTTGGATTTTGATTTTAAAATTTGGCTTCGGGCTTTTAACATTACCAGGACTATCAAGAAGCGAGTGCCTGGCTTTTTATCTTGCTTTGCTGTAGATGGAGCAGAAAAAAAAATTATGAACTGTGGTCCATTTTGTTAAAAAGCCAAACTAGTTACAACCATGCAACTTACCAATCAAATTTGATGATTTAGATTCCTGTTCACCAAAAAGATATTTCAGAAAAAAAAATGAAGGCACCTTCTACAATTAATGTGTTCAGGAATTAGAACTTTATTCATTAGAAGGGATTGTCAGTTGCTAGTTTATGTACATGATTGTACTTTTGCTTTCATCAAAAAGTTCTTCAAATGACAAATTTTGATAATAATTTTTAATCTTATTCTAGTTACCAACCACAGAGTTAAGTCTTCCTACTAGGGATGGTCCAGGAGACAAAGAGGCAAGAGCAAGTGGAAAAGACAAAGGAGTAGCAGTTGGGGCGGGAGTTGGTGGGGCTGTTGCTTTTGGGATTATTGTCGTAGGGGTGATCATTATATTGTGTAGGAGAAAAAAGTCACGGTAAGCTGCTTAAACAAAACTGAGTGACTCTGTAACTGACATGTCTAATTATATTGTTAGAGGGTAATCACCTGAATTTTGTCAGTTATGATCGTGCAGGAACCAAGTGATGAATGAGTGACAAACAACATCAGATGATTACAAATTCAAGCTAGAATGGCATAATTGGATAAAATCTTGCATTCTGATTGGCTATCAAAGCGATGCGTTTAGCATGGAATTGGGAGTTGAAAACGAGGCTAAAAGTGATGTTGTTTCACATCTCTTGTTTTACACTCAGGATAAAAGCAGACAATCTTTTTGCTGTTTCTTTTTTCTTATTTTTATTCCTTTATGCGATTCAAGGAAAATCCATCACCTGACTCATGAGTTTTGTGTTAAAATGCACTTCGGGATTCATGCTATATCGGTTTTTGCGGGCAATTTAAATAAGTGGAATTCCCTTGTCAGGTAATGAATTTTTCCATGGAACCTAACTTGTTAATTGCAGGTCTGAAGTGATTATAGGCAGAAATGGAAAACATGCTCTTGCTATTAGTGAGAACTGACAAACACTCACACAAATTACACTGTGTCCAATTGAAAAGGCATGATGTGTACATGTTCTAGTTGCAATGTCCAGTTACAACTTAGCATGGCAATTATAAACTGTATTAGAGGGGCTACTGGCAGCTTAATTAACCAATCATGTTTTATAATTGTTCTATAATAATAATTATAAATTATGGTTTTAATTAGAGTCAAATTTTGTCTCCTATAACCATCACAATTTGTGTATGCACTCAGATAACAATAGCTATTAATGATAATCATACACAAAAGTGATATTGAAATTTTGAATCATAAGCTTTAAGCTGCTGGCCTTTACATTGTGCCATTTGCACTAAGTTTCAAATTTGACTTTAATTTAAGGTTGCAAAAGAAATTACAAAGGTTGTAGGGATTTTGATTTCTTTCATAACTGGCATCTTGCTGAGCAAGAGAGAAATCATAATTGTAAATTTTTTTGCACTTTGGATGAGTTTAATGTACAAGAAATAAAGTGTTTAAAGTTATTTTAAAGCCTTGTGATCAATAAATTATCATTATGTATTTGTTTTGCAGAGAAAATACTGAAACGAAAGCAAAACTAGATTTAGGAGGTAAGAAATTTGTTAAAAAGTGTCTAAAGTTACTGAAAGTGTTTAAGACTGGTACACTGTTGCAACTCTATTGGACCCATGCACCTTGACGAATTGCAAAGAAATGAGAGTATGATATATTTCTGTTCTCTATTTTGTCTCATATATTAAATCTAAACATTTGGAATGTGACTGTTTCTGTCTACTACCAAATTAATTACGAGCACACCGACGTCTGCCGCGTCCAAGGAAAGAGAAGGTCCGCTACTCTGGTCGATGAACTGAAAAAAGTTCTGTATGCGATGGCGTTCACAACCCGAAGGATGAATACCAGTTAACCTCAGACTTATATACCACTATGCAAATAACTACACACAAGAGACATACCAGAATGCGTACTTAGCGAGGAAAACAAATATCTGCTAAACTTCGTAATGCAGATATTTATATATTCCTTCGTCTCGTCGGATCGAAATTGAAATGATGCATGATTTAAAATTGCATGATGGCCTTTCTATCTAAAGTATTCAAACTAGTTATTAAGGCTCAAGTTGTATGATACTGACGCACTTAATAAACTTTTTAAGCTTTTTTTAGCTTGAGTCTTTCACACTTTATGAAATATCTCCATGCAATGACAGTTTGCGATTACTTTTGTTACTTTGTTAAATTTTTAATCCTAGTTAAGAACCCAGTGTATGGAAAACCTCAGGATGACATTGAAATAGAAAGACCAAAAGAGAAAGCCAAAACTCTCAGTGAACAAGAGAGTCAACCAACATACATGGAACTTGTTGATAAAAAGGGTAAGTTGGTCAGCAATAACATGGAATGTTATTGGGTGGGGTAAAGGGGTGGGTCAATAATGATATGAAAAAATAATAATTAATAACTTATGATAATGAAAACAAAAATAATAACAGTGATAATTATTATTATATATTTCTATCAATTAATAATTATTATGGTTAATATGATAATTTCTTTGGCAGTAATAATGATATTTTTTGACTAATGAAAGTTATATTTAGTTGTATCTTGAAATGAATCTTATGCTCTGATTGGCTGCTTGAGTATGTTAGGCAAGATGAGCCCATCTTGTCGTTTCAGGAGTGCCTGCTTTGATTGTGTGCTCCAAAAAAAACTGGAGCTAAATTACAAAGTTTATAAGTTTTGGAAGGAAAAAGTAACTTGGCCAATATGCAGCTATTTTGACTTCACACTTGGTTTTTAATGCAGTTATACCACTTATCAGCAGCCTCTAAATAATAATATGAAGTAAAAAATAACTTAGACTCACAAAATCTAAATGGAGAAACCTCTGATCTCTAGTAATTGGTAAACATCCTTGAATCTATTCAGAACAATTGTCTTAGTTTGTAATATAATTATTTTTCCAATTTCCACAATAGGACATGAAAATTGTGGAGCTGTGTACAGTTCTCTAGAAGAAAATTATGACAACTCATCTGTTTACCAAACTCTGAACAAGAAAACACCAACAGCACCACCAGTTTACCAGAGTCTACAGAACAACCAGCCATCCACCAAGGAACCAATACCTAAACAGAAACTAAGCAATGTGAAAAAACCTGAAAAACCAAGTGTACAGCCAGACCCTGTGTACAGTGTCCTAGAGGAGTCTGACACCAAACAAGAAGATCTGTCAGAGGCATTATATAATGTGCTGGAAGGGCCAGATCCTGGACATGATACTCTAGGATACATTCAGGACCCTGTTTACAACGTGCTGGATGGGCCTGATGCAGGACAGACATATGAGGCCCCAGATGTTGGTGTTCACCAGGATCCACTGTATAATGTTCTTGAGGTGCCTGAATCCAAACAAGAACATCAGGAACCACTATATAATGTACTTGAAAGTGCAGATACAGAAATTGCCCATTCCAGACAGGAGGCCCCCCATGATGGTGCAGTCAGTGAGCCCCTGTATAATGTTCTTGATGGGGCAGATTCAGGTGGAGCAAATGTGAGTGGTGCAGAATATGCTTCTCCAAACAGACCTCTGTCTCGTCGTGACAATCCAGACTATGAGCAGACCCTTGAGTTTGGTGTACCAAATGCAGTGGTGCATAGCCCTGGGTCTCAGAGAGAATCTTTTTATGAGCCCCTAGAAGGGTCTGATAGGCAAGATGTGTATGAGCCCCTTCAGAAAAGGGGAAATAATTGTACTTAGGACATGAGCTTTGGAAGTTCTTAGAAGTTGGTCACTGTTGAGACCCTAAGAGCTCTCCATGGAAAAGTTAATATTGACTCTCAATTGTCATTTATATGTTAGCCATTTAGGTAACAAAGGCAATATAGGAAAGTAGGAATACACAATTTTCTACACTAGTCTTGTAGTAACAATTTGTATCTCTTTCTGACATTGTGCAATTGCATGATACATTATATCGCATGAGGCAAGTTAGTCAAGTGAAATACTTTTACAAAATAGTGTAAAACTTATATTTTTTAAAAGACGGATCTAGACATTTGCTGCCAAGCAGAATTCAAGAACACTGTGTTCATACAAAAATTTTTAGTGAGAACGACTACAATTCTGTATGTTGTGAAAAAAAAAAATTGCTTGTAATATTTTTCAGTACTTATAAATGCATGGCTATCACCCTTGTCAAAATAATTTTGTACTGTAAAACAAAGTGTTTATACTTCAGTATATTTTTATGAATAGTTTTGGTTACAGTAAGAATTTGTTAATAAAAATAATAAATATCATAGGTTAACCTGAAAAAGAGGTAGTTGAGATCTAGAGCTTTTTACCAAGCTGTGAAAAACTTTTACAACAGTGTGGAGAGACATACAAGGGGAGAGAAAGAGGAGATAAGAGGTAAAGATCTGGAACGAGAGGTACAGTGTATGATATAGGGTATACATAAATGAAAACAAAAAGCAAAATAATGCACATTATTTTGTTCATAATTGACTGGCAATGATGATTCACAGGAATGGGAGATGGCAAGATGGAGACAGTGCTTATCCCCACCCCAGCCTCCCTAGTTCTTTTCTCCTCTACTCCCCTCCACTCTCCATCACTAGAGAGTACCAATATATTCTGACCATATCCCTTGGCATCTTCATTTTGTGACATTATGTAAGCTTATTTGCAAAGAGCTTTCCAAATTAAAACATTTGTTTGTTTCCTTTCAATTGTCTATTTTGCTTTGCAATACCATTGACCTGTACTCAACCACAAGAATTATCCAGATGCATTTTATTAATCTCTTTTCTATACACAAACTTGAAACTTTTGGGAAATTTTATTCATTACATACTCAAAGTTTTGTAATAGCTCAACATACACAACATTGAGAAAGGCTAGTGTTACCCAGTTTCTTCTTCTTCACGCGGAGTTCTGTAGTTCGAAGAATGGTAGCCGTTTAGATCGCGAATCTACAGGGAAAATAATATTACTTCTTGATGGAGTTTTGCCTTAAGATTTGGCAAATTTGTTTCTTAGGCTAAGTACTTTCAACCTCTGAGGAGCAAACAAAAGGTGCATTTTTGGTCGCAGTAGCACTTTACAATTTGTGATTAGCAAAACTGACAAGATTGTCTAATTACCTTTTAAAGTAAACAAAGTACAGATAATCTTTGAGGAAATTTTTTATCTTAATTAAGTTTGAAATATGAACATGCTCCAATCCAACCAAAAATATTTTACCACCTATTTATATTATATAATTTATAACTGATTAATCTATTGTGTAATTATATATAAATCATAATAACAATCTTTTTTTGTATTTCACAAATAATTTACCCCTCTAGATGACACAGATGAAACTCCATGCTGTAGTTAACGCATTAAATCCCAGGAGTGATCAAGATGTTATTTCTCCCTTTTATATCCTTACATAATCCAGCAAACAGGTAATGAGAATACTCTCACTTATCAGGTAGAAGTTATCTTTATAATCTAACACCTTGAATTCTTGTAACTAATTTACAAGGAAAGGGGAGAATTAACAATCACATCTGCAGAGTTAAAGGATTATAAATAACAAATTTCCACTGTTCGACTAGCTTCTCTACTTATCTTCTAATCTATGTTGAGCTTATTATTCTCCAGGAACCAGGAGGCATATTTCTCATTTTTATAGATAATTTTTTTTTTATTCCACCAAATGACTTAACCCCCTCTTGTTGGTTTTTTGTATGTTTATCAAAGATCAACCTGCATGACTGTCCTTGATATTCAGAAATAAGATTCTATCGTTAATGAGGACATTAACATGAAGGTATTTCAAGGGGCTGATGCAGCCTGGTTTCAATTAGAAACCCTGTCAGCTGGTCTCCATGGAATTTCCATTTGGCAGAAGTAAACTTAAGGTAGTCTACATCTATGTTCCAATCACTCAATCTGGGAGAACTTCAATATAATCATTACACTCATTGTCTTGTGAGGGCTCTTCTGAAGAGGCCTATGGTGATCCAGGTGAATTAGGTCCTTGGACAGTTGTATATATTGGTGATGAAGGATCATCAGCTTCTCTTGTTGCAACATAATCTCCTTCATTGTGCTCAGAACCAGCATGTCTGTGTGAATCAAGATTGTCCAAACTTGTGCGACTTGCTGTTAAGACAATGATTCCTTCTGGTTTAGCATAATCATAGTCTTTATTCTTTGGTTTATCCTGAGGTGGTTTTGAACTTTGGGGTTCACTGTAAATAGCTCCATCTGATTGACAGTCAGAGTGTCCTGTTTCTTCCAGGGGAAGTAAATAACCAGAATGATCTGAAATGCAGATGTGCGAGAGAGTCAACAATAGATAAGAGTTACACTATATCTCCAACTAGCTGAGTTTGCAGTCCATACTGTAAGATATGGATCACGTTATTTTCACTCTGATTTGCACCTTGAGCATGAAGCACATGGGCCATAAAAATGAGAGAAAAAATACTTTGAAAATCAAGGTTGGTAAGATCTTTATTATATCTCTAGGTTCAGACAGACGGGAAAGTTTCAAATGTAAAGAAACTTTTAAATTTAGAGGGCTTCTCAGTGATATATGGCCTGCTAAATTGAGCAGTCATAGCACACATACTTTTAACTGACTAAATCTGCTTATGGGTGTCATGAAATAGTCACACAGCAATTTCTCCCCGCAGACTTAACATAAACCACTTTGTGTACCAACACATCCACAGAAGTTGTTTGAACATTTTATTTGCAGCATGAAAAGGGAAAGTTCTCATAAAACAAAAGTCTGATGAAGTGAAGATCGGCAAGCCTTTCGCCTGTTTATATAGTCAATAATTAACAGTCGCGATAAACAGTATCAAGTTGTGCTAAACTCTTCATAGGGGTCAGCTTATACACCACAAAACATACCTTCTTTTGGCTTAATCAGCTTTTGATATTCTGAACGACATCTATCAGGTGCAGGTTTCAAGAAGGCATACCCCTTGCGCATTGGACTTCCTACTTTTGCATAACCTGCTTCATCAACAGATGGCTGGCCTTCAGGTGGGGTATAGGGAAGAACTGTCTCACCTTCTTGATTATAGAGTGCATTACCTGACACATGATCAAAAAAATAAGTCAGAATCTATCACATCAGGCATGTTTAACCATTTGAGCCTGACATCAGTATGCATAACTTCTCCATAATGTTTCCCATACATTTCCTGAGGGTGCCAACAAGGAGAATTTGTTTAACAGTCAAGAGCTGCAATTAGTTGATGATCATTTCCTTTATTCTCCTGACCTTAATGTCAGATTCAGGGTGATAATGTAAGGAGAAATTGGATGCTAGTCACTCTTAGGGATCCAAGGGTTAAACAAGAAGAACAAAATAGACATGTAAGTACTAACTAGTGAAAGTAAAATTTCTTACCAACATGAAGCCTTGCTCTGCTCTTTTTTCGTTTTCTTCGACTCCTGATGAGATGAAAATTCATTTGTGATTAAATGGGGCAAATAATGGTCAGGTACTATGGCTTTAACTTTAACAACTCCCTGAGGTGATAAACATGTAACTTCTCTCTATAATATCCTTACATTATCCAGCAAACAGGTATCTGAGAATTATACTCTTAGACTAACATAGCAGGTACAAGTTATTAACTTGATCTTACACCAAATCCTCATCACTAATTTATAAGGAAATGTGTAGCAGGTAGAGAGGAGAATTAACAATTAGATCATGGGAGTTAAAAGGGTTACTCGGTAATTTTGTTGGTGTTGAAACTACATACTATAATTACAAGTGAATTAGTTAACAAAATCCCCTCTTTAACACACTTGCATAATTATGAACTAGCATGCCAAATTCTCTGCTCTCACTGGAAAGAGGTCATCTCTAAAATGTCATGCCCTGCAAGGACACAACATTATAACCCAAACTCATCATCATCATCATCATCATCATAACTTTATTTGGTAACGCAGGTTAAAATTTGCGCAACTTTACAGCTGATGTGGACCTGCCTAAACTAATTAGTCTATAATTATATAAAATACAGATAAGATAAAATTTATAAGTTGAATAAATTAAGTAAACCATAAAATTTTAGTAATAGTGAAAATTTGATTTCATGTTTTGTATAACATTACCTCCCTTTTCAAAATTAATATTCATGACAGTTTGCTTGAATTGTTTTAGGTTATATTTAAAAATAGATAAATTTGGAGAATCTTTAACATTATCGGGAAGTGCATTCCATGCTACTGCAGATCTATGAGCAAAGGATCTACGACCCAGTTCGGTTTTGGGCCAATTAAGTACAACATTCAGGGATTTCCTTAGGTTATAGCTTTTAGAGTTCTTGGTCACCAAACAATTAATTTCCCGCAACCCTAAATTATAATAAGCATTATATGTAATAGTTAAGATACGTAGCTTTAGTTATAAAAATACTCTAAAGGCATCCAGCCAACCTTAGAAAGTACATCATTATCCTCAAAACTATTTGGTATCTTATGAATCAGCCTGGCAGCCCTGATGTGAATCATTTCTAGATCTTTAAGCTTGGGTCCAGACCCCCAAATTACAATTCCATATAGAACACTTGGTATAACCATCCTATAGTAGAAAGTCTCCAAGATAGATGTACCTAGGAAATTTATAGGTCTCAACATTTTAACTTTGGCATTAAATGCAGATCTAACTATTGCATCTCTGAACAGACAATTAATTTAAGCTGCTAATGTTACCTACTAGACAATCACCTCTCCTATGAAACTTACAAAACTAACATTTTAGCTTACATGATAATTAAAAATTGAAAAAAAAAGGAAATCACACCTTTGCTTCATTTTCCAACAAATCCATAAAGTTGCAGTGAAGGACAAGGTGACAATAACAGCACCACCTGCAACAACTGCAATGAGCCAAACAGGAAGACCACTACTACCAACATCATGGAACTCTTTGTCACCCTCATTTAAGAATGACGGCTGCTCTGTAGTTGGGGTAGTGGCACCCTCTCTTTGAGTCGTGACTGGAACTGTTAAACCTCCATCTTTTTTTTCTGTTGTATTCTTGGTTGGGCTGGTACTAGAAAGTGTTGTCTAGTATATAATTAAACAAAATCAAACACAAGTTACATTTGTTTAAAAAAGGCATGAAAAACTGGCCCACAGATCGGAGATGTTGTATGATCAAAGCTTTTGCTCCATTAAGGTATTGTGGTAAACTTGTTCTTGTAGTGTGAGGCTGTGGGAGTCATCCTTTCATGATTGTTTTGAAATAAAACAAACACTGCAAACCAAAAGTGCTCCACTTTACCTATAATTCATATTTTTTCACAGGCCAGACATGTTGGCCCACAGGCCAGACATGTTGGCCCACATGCCAGACATGTTGTGTGATCAATTACAGCAAAGCGTTTGTTCCAAATGGTAAACTCCTTCTTAAAGTGTGAGAATTGGCTGTTGGAGTCTTCCTTCATTATTGTTTGGGAACTTTAACTTACAAAGAAGTGGAAAGGAATCAAACACTACAAACTCAAAGTCTTCCACTTTACTTATAACTCATATTTTTTTTTACTTGATATTTAACTTGTACATACCATCAATGTTGGTGATGATGGGTTGGATACTTGACCTTCATATGGACAAAATCAAATATCAAAAATAAATATTTCATTTTAAAAAGACAGTGCCAAAATTTAAGGGACAATTAGTGCCATCCCATTCAATGAAATTCAACAGTTAATTCTAAACATGATTGTATAACTTAAAAAGTAAATTCTAAACATGTTTAACTCAAATGTAATTAGAATAAATCACTATTAAGATTTATAACTATTAGTAGTACCACGTGCCACTCAGGTGTGCTTTTTGTACCTCCTGATTCAGGCTAGTTCTGAAGTGAATAGCAAGTATTAGTAAACACTAAAACAGTGGATAGTGTTGAAGGCGCGCTCTGATTGGCTAGTCAAACTCCGAATATCCTTTGCTATTTACCTCCGAGCAACTTGAGAAAAAAATGGCGTCCCGGTTTGCATCAGTGACAAGCAAAGAAATCACTCAAATTAATTTTTGGTGGTCTATTTTATCTCACTGTCTTAGTATATACTAAAACAACTATTCACCTCAGTGTCGGTGGTTAGCGGTGGATATTTACCTCACCGCTTCGCGGTTCGGTAAATATCCACCACTAACCATCTCTACTTCGGTGAATAGTTGTTAACTATATTCACCTCTGCACAGCTAATTTCCAACCACTTTTCCGTATATTAAAGGAAAATGAGTTTTTCGTATTTGGGTATAGTTTATACTACAACAGAAGATTCAGAATTATAAGCTTCTGACTACAACAGTTATTCACCTCTGTTCGTATTGGTGAAAGTGGTAGATGTTTACTGAGCCACAAAGGTGGGAGGCATTTAATGTCCACCGCTATTCACCAAGACTTTGGGTTGGTGAATAATTGTTAAAGATCATCATAAAATTATACCTCATTACAAAGTTAGTATTAATAGAAACATGACCACTTAGTACATTTCTAGTTTTATTGGTTTGCTAGGTGCACATTTCCTGACCAGTTTAAGATAAATGGCCATGACACACCAAAAAAAAAAAAAAGAGACATTTACAGAAATATTTCTGTGCAGTATAAGTATTCTCATGCAGTTTTCTTGAAATTGTGTGTAAAAACCATTTATGTCCGAAAGCAGGTACTGTACATGAGGGGTCCACTCTCTGAAACTGAGATCTGATATTGAAGGCGGCATGCTTGAGTGGTTAGGGTGCTGGACTTGTAATCTGGTGTCCTGGGTTCAAGTCCTCCACCCTGCCACTCACTGGATTTGTTCTCGGCTGCCCCTAGCTCAACTCCTTGGCTGTGTTCTGTAAATAGCCCACTAGTCTGCCTCCTGCCAGTGGGGTTTTTCAAGCACTTAGTTAGTCTATATTGTGGCTGAAAAGCCCTTGAGGGGGAGCTTCAATTAACGTATTTATTTATTTAATTATTTATTTATTTATACTGGGTTATACTTTTTGCCTCATGGAACAGAACTGCTGAAGCAGGGAACAAGCTTTACAAAGCATGCTGCACTTTAACCAGAATGTTCCAAAAGTACCTAGTACTAGATATTACATAGCTTTAGTCAACCCTTTAACCCTTAAGAGTGACTAACATCTAATTTCTCCTTACAATATCACCCCCAAGTCACACATTAAAGTATAATGAGAATAAAGGAAATGATCACCAACTAGAGAAGCTCTTGATACATAAACAAATTCTCCCTGTTAGCACCTTAGGAAATGTATAGAGGACAGAATGGAGAATATGCATACTGATATTATCAACATGTAAAAGGATAATAGTACACCACCATAAGGATAACAGATTTAAAGACCAGCTCTATACTTACAAGGTACACGAGTGCTGCCCCTGACTTTGAACAAAATGCACAAATCTTTCGGGATGTTGCTGTCTCTTCTACTGGTGCATTGTAAGAAGACTTTAACAACCTTTCCAAACAGCTGACGCTGAACCTGTGGGTTTCTTCCATTCCACTGTACATGGGAAGATCAACACAAAATAAATTAATTTTAACAAACTTATCATTCAATCCTCTAAGGTTACCTGGTACAATTTCACTCCAAACTTAGAATAAGAATGATTTGGCAGCTGTCGCTTCAAATTGTTATAAAATAGCATGTATTTAATTAGGTCACTCAGGTTGCCTGTGTGAATTTTGGTGTTATATCATTCAAGAAAACAACCTCTAGCATTATGTATCAACACCAAAAATGTGGAGAATGGATATTCAAATCTTAGAAGCTTGATATATAAAATTAAGTGAAAAGGTTAAAAATGTTCAGCCTTGTTATACAATCAGGAGTTAATTCCCTTCTTTTTCAAGGAATTATTTCAAAGTTGAGGTAAAAGTTAAGTCTGTACCTAACTGAGTCAAGTAACTCCCCCCCCCCTGATGGGATGTCAGTCTATCACAAAGTTACACCCCAGCATTTGACCCCACTTCTCTGACAATTCACCAGTACCCATTTACACTCCTTAATGGAGAGTGGCACTGGGAGAGTAAACTGTTTTGCCCAATTACAAGAACACATCGCGTTGACTTGGCCAGGTGTTTAATATGGGACTCTCAATCTGGAGTCCAGGGGCCCATTTCTTGAAAATCCCAGTAACTTAACGGGCCCACAAAGCTGTTCTGTTTTCATTCAAGATGGGGATTTCAAAAGTTTTGAAAATGATACAATAAAACTATGAGCTAAAGAGGCAAAAAGGACTGGTTTGGGTGTCAGAACCTACTTTCCTAGCCTTTAAATTTTGATTTTAAAACATGGCTTTGGGCTCGTTAAGTTACTGGGACTTTTGAGAAACAGGTCCCAAGGCACTAACCATCAGGCTTCTATGTCTTGCATTTGAAAGTTGAATTTGAAATTATACAATCATTTAAAGATGTCAAGATACCTTAAGGAAGTGAGCATGTTTAACTATTTTTGTGTCCTCGTGGTGAATGCGAAAAGGTGGCTGCTTTCTTAAGAACTTTTTCCATGCAGCAGAGCTAGTTGCTGTGAGATAACTTGTTCCTGTGATATCACAGTCCTCCCTTGGAAGAGTATACAACCTTATAGAGCTTGATCCATCGAATATTCTTAGCACACTATCAGCTCTTTCTCCACTGAAATGTAATGTACACCCTGAAAAAAAAAAAAAAAGGAACAAAAGTCTTGAGTCAAAAAACAGTTTGAACCAGAAAACTACTAAGAAAAATCGAAGGGAGCCCAGTACTCTGACACTATGAAATCCAGCTGGGTACCCAGCATAAAAGATTATGCTTTTTATGAAAAAACTAAGATTCCCGAGTCATCCATTGCATGTAAAGCGCCAGGGGCCACTGGGCGCTGCTTAAGACCACAGCCCTGTGCAGTTTAACTGGTAATGATAATCCAATAAGGATTAATTGTTGACAGGGAATGATGTTTGAGTGATTATAACATAATTTCCTTAACCTCTAAGAGTGACTGGCTTCTAATTTTTCTATACAATATCACCCCTGAATTGCCTATAAAGTTCACAAGAATAAAGTAAATGTTATTGATCACCATCAAAAGAAGCTATTGATTGCTAAACAAATCCTGACCTCGTCAGTATCTAAGAAAATTCATAGAGGACAGTAAGGAGAATATACATACTGATGTTAGTAAAATTCAGGCATGAAACGAGAGCAGGAAACCCCCTTTGCTACCCTTCTCAAAGCAGCCATCACCATCTTTGTCTAGACCATCAAACTTTTATCAAAAGAATTGGATTTAAAATATATCATTCTCCTCAAAATTCTAATCAATAAATATACCAAATTTATTACAAAAAAATTAAAACAATACTTAAAAAACTAATATCATTCATAAATAATTTATTATAGGTAAAAAAATAAGCTAATGTTCCAGTCACACATGGATAAAACATTTCATTTGTTCATTGTTTTCGCATGATGTAATTTCAAACATTTTTTTGCATCTTTCACTTCCAAGTCCATGTAATTATCAGTCTTCCTTGCTGTCTGCTATACATTTTTCATGATCTTAGCAATGAGACTTTGGTGTAAAATCAAACAATATCACCACTACTTGAAGATGTTTTGAGGTCGTAAGGAGAATAGACACTTCTTTTAGATCACTCATGGGAGTGGAAGGGTAAAAAAAAAAGGACTTAAAATTCAGAGCTGAAGGAAGCGACACGGAGGGACACCAAGTTTCATCTGAGAATCCACACCACAGGATTAACCTTGACCCTTCATGGGTTTCAATCATTCCAATTTAAATACATGTAATAAAACTATACTCTTTCTATTCAAAAAACATCTCACATAACGCAAGGGTTAATGGCATGAAATTAGAAATCAACGGAGTGATAAAAACTTGAGAAGAAAAAAGGAAAAAACATTAGGCAACTCAAACAAAACTTAACTATGATGGGGGAAATTTCTTCTAATTTGTTTTACATAGCATCCAGTAATGCTCATACCATGTCACCTAATTTAAAAAATATACCACTTTGTAGTTAAAGAGAGTTTGTTAAGGATTATTTGCTAAAATTGAGATATCAGGGATATTCAGTTTATGACAAGATTATCCTATTGCTTGATGTACCCAGCCAGATAAATTAATTTTTACCTAGTCAAATCCTCAAAATATCATGTTATTATGTATATTCCCTATTTTTAAAAATTTTTAGACAAAAATATGAGTAGACTTTATCCACAGAAATTGTATTTATATTATATAAATTTAGTTTTTAAAAACTTCCCAGAAAGACAAATGGAAACATGAATACAAACACTTACCATCGCGACTTTCTTTGTTTCTTATACAAGTGTTAAGATCTTCTCTGTAAGTACTATGAGATTTAAAGCACTGACAAATACAACCTTTTGACGAAGGAATTAACTTGCTGTTCATTTGTCTGCATGGATTTTCTTCGTAATTACAAGTTTGTGTGTAATTGTAGAAGGATATTTTATCTCCACTTCTCCATCGGAAGACGGAACATTGGTGCGCTTGGGCAGATGTTGACTTAAACATACATACGAAGACCAAAATTCGTTTAAAGATCAAGCTGTCCTGATTTAGAAATTTTCCCTTTGACTAGAAATATTCTCGTCCAACTCTTTCCCTCATCATGTATTGTGTATTGTAGCAGTCTTGCAACAGGAAGAAATGAATTTCCCAAAATTTTAGTGTTTGTATCGGCGTTCTTTTCTCTTTGACTTGAAGAAGCACATTGAATTATTTGAAATTTTCGCTTTCCTTTACATTCGCTTTAGTAACGGCTGTACTGATTCTAAAACGCCCTCCCCGAGATCGTCGATCGTTCAGGAACTTAAGCCTTGAAAGTATGTTTCATTCCGACCGGAAGTCGCTGATGCGAATGTCGTTTGCAAGCCCTCGCCCTGTTTTCGCACGCTTGCGATACAGACCACTTTTTGGTAATTCCGTCAAAAGATTATTTCCTGAATCCGCAGGTTTGATGTTCAAGCAAGCACCAAAATATCGAAAGAAGGACTTTTTGCGTGTCATGCATGAAGATCTTTCTAAAGCTGATGATATATCTTTGTAATCATGTCATGTTGATAAGTTTTCTTGAACCTCATTCGCTAGTTGATCCACGCTGTAAATATTGAGTCATTTACTATTTTCGTCACGAAGCTGGGGACAGATGGTCTCCTGGTTTCAATATAACTATACTACACAGCCCAGATTGCATTAAACATCAATATTATTGAGCAAGTGTCATGCTTAAAACGCCAAACGATTCGACAAAGAGAAGGTCAACGATTAGTCCGCCATATTTGCATCAGTTTCAAATGAACGTCACGTAAACGTAACGCAGAAGTGTCTTTTGGGAGGGGTGGTAAGGGAGGTAGCTTTGTCTGGATGAAGCTCGAATGTTTCTGTCTTCGGTTTATAGCAATACTAGTCTGCTCCATTTAAACGTATTTCAGTGTTTTTGCTTTGTTTAAGCAGAATGGTGGCTCAGAATTTCTCATTTGACAAACTTCAGGGATTGAAGGACGGCGGCTAATTTATATCTTACTCTCCTTTCACTAGTGGGGTGGGGTAAACTCCAGGGACTGAAGGACGGGGGCTAGATTAGTATATTTCTTACTCTCCTTTCTCAAGTGGGGTGGGTCTGCGTAAGAAGAAGGTTTATTTGAATTTTTGGATTTAATGAACTGTTCTGTTCCTCTTTGAGTAAACATGTCTCAGCGCAAAAACTGAAATATTTTAACATGCAACTATACAAAGAATCTTTCATTTTTTCTTTAAGCAAAGCTTTTACCTAAACTGACCCGAATATTTCCTCAGCTCGGGGAATCTTTCTTTATGTTCCTTTCAGCACCATCCGAGGGTGGTATGATAATTAATAGGCTTTAAAATCAACGCGCAGCTCGTTCAAACAAGTTTCAGGAATTTACAAGTATATAAGCATTCCGTCAACATGTTACTCCGCACTGTCGGGCATCAAATGGAAACATTTGTTGAGGCATCACCAGAATTTTGTGAACGACACGATCTTTGAGCAATCAAATAATTATAAATTGGATCAGTCATGTACAACATGGTTACAGTTTTCTGGAGTCTCGTCTTTGCATGCCCACCACATTACTTCACATCAGGTAAACCTGACATGTATACTTGAATTTGTTTCAGTCATCTACTTTATTGCATTGCTGGGGGAAGTTACAGTAAAGTTGCTCTTATAATCCACATTCACTCTTACGAATTCCGACATCGTAAACAGTTACACACTGTTACACGCTCTCAGGCCGGCGAAATGGCGTACGTACGAACGACGCCCCTCTCTCGTTCTTCGTCTGGGCTTGTCACGCAACCGCTTTCTTCTCGAACTCTCCTTACAGCTTTACTTTCTTTGTTTTTCCTCCTGACAAAGAGGCCAGAGGCCAGTGGTCCCGTGCATTTTAGTGCGCTTCTTAACCACTCCCTTGCTCCCTTGTGTTCTACTTAATGGTACGAACAAACCCACCTTCGCCTTTGTATCGAAAAGTGAGCTTATTAATGTCTTTTGGCCAATTTGAAATGATAACATTTATTGTGTTTCAGGCGCTTGCTCAGACAACCATAATTCTTGCTCGTATTGGGCTGGTAGCGGTGAGTGTTCAAAAAATCCCCTGTGGATGCTTGATAATTGTCCGACGAGCTGCAAAGTGTGCTCTGGAGTACCGGGTGAGTTAGGCCTTTGTAAAGGTTGTTGTTATGGTAACGCGTTCGCACTGGCCTAAAAAATGAGTAGTCGTTTGGTGCAATGGAATTAGAAGCGTGGCAGAGGGGGGTCTAAAAGTACATGTGACCCCTCCCCCAAAAAAATAAGTGACAAGCTATGATAACAATCGTCATAACAATAACAATGATAATGATGATAACAATAACGATGATAATAACAATATCAGTAATAATGATTAAAAATTATCATAATGATAATTAAGATAATATATAGTGATAGTAATGATAATGATAGTAATCAAAGAGGGCTTATGGGTGCTGATTGCCACAAACGAGGACAAACAACCTCGTTCCCAGGGCCTTTTCCCTTAACTAAGGGAAAGGCACTGGTAACGAGGTTGGGGGACAAACATGTAAAATCAAACCTTTTAATCAAGACACCTTCACAAAAGCTTCGAGAAAACTCACCCTTAACTTTAAAATGCTTAACATAACATGAAGACCGTAAAATCTAGAAAAACTGACCGAAATAGAGAGGTTTTTTTTAACTCGGTGGCCTCGTGGCATGGCACCGTTCGAAGATGCCGTCACCGCCCAGGCACGAAAACTTAAATGTCCCGTATGGGAACCCGGGCGACTTTGGCGAGTCGACCAGCCGCAACAGGTGCTTATTTTTACCTCACGAAGGATGCAAACTGGTAGATCATATTAAGAGGCTATTCCCAAAGCATTTTCATAAAAAGAATATTTACGTGAAAATAAAAAAAGGGAAGGTACATATTCGAGAAAACGCAGTGTAAATGTGACTTGTTGAGGGGTTGGGAAGGAAGTTTCAGCTGTTTTCGGCTAAAATAGTTATTTCGAGACAAAAGATGTATGATAAAAGAGGTGTACTAAAGACATTTTTTATGAATTTTTTAATTGGTTTCACATCTCAGCTTGCGTCAACATATACAATGACCAGTACTGTAAACTTAATGTGGGGAACTGTTGGACGTTGTCCAGTGGTGCTGATCTTGTAAAGAACTGTAGGAAAACATGTGTGTGTAAATGCTGCCTCCCAAGTCCTACAACAGTACCAATGACTGGATATGTCCACGAAACAACAAGTTATACAATGACAGCAGATTCGACCTCGGCTACTACTACAGTGGAAATAACAACGACAGCAAAGGATACCAGTACCTGGCTCCAAACAACATCAAAAATAAGAAACTCGACTTCCATTAAAGAGAGAACTACGGTGCAATCAGGTTGGGGGAGGGGGGGAGGTACTCTTGATATTTGTATAGTCTCATTCCCAGCTGTTCTTTCGAATGTCACGCAACGCTCTTCCCAGAGGCTGGGAGAATGTTGTGTGACAACGTAAGGGACGATTGCAAAGGAGACCTGCCCATCTATAGAATGGAATGTTGTTTTCGTCGCGCCGTTCTTTGAGAAAGAGGACAATAACATGTAATAATGGCTGTATTGTAATAGGGGCTGTATTGCCCTTTGCAGATTAAAACATAGATAGATAGATAGAACACTATCTTGTATTAGAGTTCTTCAGTTGTATTGAAAGGGAGGAAATAGGATTTGGGTTAATGCGGTTCCGAGAGTTTGAATCCGAAATAATTCAAGTCCAATTCCATCTTTATTTCAGAATCGCATAATTGAATAAAATGCCGCATTCCTATCGGTTGACGAAGGGAGGTGTTTGGCGTGGAATTGCGAGTTGAAAATGAGGCTAAATGATATTGTTTCGCATCTTTTGTTTTACGGTCAGGATAAAAACACACAATATTATTGCTATTTTTTTTTCTTATTTTTTTTTCAATTATGCGATTCAAGGAAAATTCATTACCTGACTCGTGAAGTCCGCGTTAAATTACACGAGAAAACCGATATTCGTGATTCGTGCAATAGCGGTTTTCGCGTGCAATTCAACGTGGAACTCACGATTCAGGAGGTACATCTCGTACACAATCCCCTCTGGTGGACTACCCCATTAGGTTATCACTCATTATCATGAACACACTTTCATGTAATGTAGGAAACGGTGTTGAAGATTTATTTTACTTCAGAATCAGTGAGGATTAATGATGACCAAAAAAATTTGGATTTTTCCTTTGTAGTATATACGAGTGTCATACCAACTACAAGACGAATAGTAAACCTGACGACACAGGTAATTGAGATTGTTTTTGAGAGTGTCAAGTTTTAAAACTATCTAACGCGTTTTTAAGTATTTAAAGTCCGCCTAAACCCAAATTTTTTTTTCGCTTAACGAAATAGCGTAATTTTTTGGAGTTCGATATTGTCCGAAAATATGCCGACTAAGCGTGTTGTAGGAGGATGTAGCAACGTGCGAAATTTGCAATAGGGTATCGCGCTTCATACATTCCTCATACAACACACCTAGTCGGCATATTTCGGACAATATCGACGACAACCTTCCCAAACAAGTGAAAATGTGTGAAATGCAGACTTTCGTGTTCTCGATTTGACGTCACATTACCCGCTAGAGCCATTCCTCTTTAAACTCGGTCGTGGGGCAAGATGGCGGCCGATTTTCCGTATTTTGACTGGGCACAGAAAATTAAAGATTTGAGCAAATTAAAAAATTTTTGCACAGAAATACTCCAAAAAATAAGCTTATTTCGTTAAGCGAAAAAAAA